CTCTCTCTCCCCCTCATGACACACATCCTTACCTAGGTGGCCTCTGATATGTCTCCTCAGAATGTGGTTTTAAAACCTTGTCACTTTGAGTACCTCTTCTCTCTCCTCAAGTTCCAAGAGATAATATAAATGGCACATACATCACTGGGGACCAGGCTACTGATGGCAAAGACTGGCATTCTCCCTTATCTCTCTAACATTTTAAATTGTTACCATAGTATGATGAACCGGCCGTTACTTACAGCTGACTTTCTCCCATCAGTACACTAAGGCCCTAAAAACTGACAGACATAACATCCACCAAAGATCTATTCATCCATATTGCACCAGCTGCAAAAATGCACATGACAGGGGCATTATATATTGATAAAAAACTCAATTTATTGGGAAGATGCAAGAATTATAGACATATATGCACCACACAACAGAGACCCAAAATATATAATGCAAACATTGACAGAATTGAAGTGAGAAGTAGACAGTTCTATAACAATAGTTGGAGATTTTAATACCCTATTTCCAATAATAGACAGAACATCTACACAGAAGATCAATGAGGAAATAGAAGACTCAAACAACACTATAAACCAGCCAGTAATAACAAACACCCAGAACATGCCACTCAGCATCAGCCCAACAAACATTCTTCTCAAGTGCGCATGAGACACTCTCCAAGACAGACCGTATCTTAGGCCACAAGACAAGTTTCAATGAATTTTCAAAGATTAAAATCATACACAGGATTTTTTCCAGTAGCAATGGAATGAAGCTAGACATCAATAATGGAAAAAACTAGAAAATTCACAAATGTGGAAATTAAACAACATTCTCTTTTTTTTAATGTGGGTCAAAGACAAAGTCACAGAGAAATTAGAAAATACTTAGAGATGAATTAAAATTAAAACACAACATATCAAAAACTATGAGATGCGCCCAGCAGCGTGGCTCAGTGGTTGAGCGTCGGGTTCGATTCTCGGTCAGGGCACACGCCTGGGTTGCGGGCTCCATCCCTTACTCCCCAGCAGGGGGCGTGCAGGAGGCAGCTGATTGATGATTCTCATCATTGATGTTTCTCTCTCTCTCCCTCTCTCTTCCTCTCTCTGAAATCAATAAAAACATATATTTTTAAAAAACCTATGGGATTCAGTCCTCAGAGGGAAATTTAAGGCTGCAATTGCCTACATTTAAAAAAAATATCTCAAATCGAACTAACATTACACCTTGAAGAGCAAAACAAAAGAACAAAGCTGGAGGATTCACACTTCCTCCTTGCAAAACTTACTACAAAACTGCAGTGATGGAAACTGTGCGGCTTAAGGCATAAGAGAGGCATACAGTCTAACGGACTAGAACTGAAATATCAGAAATAAACCTACACATTTATGGCCAGCTGATTTTTGACAAGGGTTTCAAGACCACTTAATGGGGTAAAAAATAATCTTTTCAACAGAAGATATGGGAAAATTAGATTTCCATGTGCAAAAGAATATAGTTGGACCCCCTATTTCACCCCATAGACAAAAATGAATTCAAAATGGACCAACAACCAGAATGTAAGGGCTAACACCAAAAAAGCCTTAGAAGAAAACATACGGGAAATGCTTCATGACTTTTATTTTGACAACGGATATGTCACCAAAAGAACAACAAAAAATAAATAAATAAATAAATAAATAAATAAATAAATAAATAAACAAATAAATAAATAAATAAATAAATTGGACTTCATAAAAATTTTAAGCTTTCGTGGATCAAAGGCCATTATCAAGAAAATGAAAAGATAGTATGGAGAATGGGAGAAAATCTTTGCAAATCCTGTGTATAATAAGAGTTTAATCTCAGGGATGTATAAAGAACTCCTACAACTCAACAAAAGGACAAACCACCGATCTGAAAATCGGGCAAAGGTCTTGAATACACGTTTCTTTAATGAAGGTGTAGACCCCTGGCCCGCGAGCACACGAAGACGCTCAACCCCATTAGTCACTAGGGAAATGCAAATCAGAACCACAACGGGACCATTTCACATCTATTAGAACGGCCATATATATATA